ACTCATCTCTGGGTTGGTAGGAAACGGCACGTGTACTTGTATCCCGGGTACGTCGATACGCTTCGTTTTGCACGAACACGATGCAATTTTTTGTTTATGTACGGGCACAAGCTTTGTTCAGGTTCTCCTGAACCTTTGGACCAACACTTGTTTTTCGGGTGTTTCCACTGAGAATCACACGCCGCTACCATTGCCCGGCACACCCCTGCTCGCACTTGGGCTGCTTCGGATTACGCTAGGACGAGGCCGCGCAGGCTGTGGAGCCTTCATCAATGATACCGCTCAAGTACAATCCCAGGTATGACTAGCGTTGACTGGCCTCGGGGGTTTCATCTCGTGTAGGAATGTTGATGTGTACAGCAGAGACACATGTGGGTCTATCCATATCTGTACATTAGTGCCCATGTGCTGATAACAACGATCACAAGCATGCATCAGCTTCATGACACGACCTGTGTTGCGCGCTGATTGAGGCTGATGCTGTGTACGAGCATTTGGCTGAACGCTTTGCCTATCTGTGCTCGGTGTCTGCCGACTGTGCTCGGACACCGCAGGGTACACGATTGTGCTGTGCTTGTTTAATTTCCTTTTGTTTCCAGGCAGCTTTTGTGGAACCTTAGCCGGAAGGGAAGGGAATAGAAGGGCAAGGAAGATACGGGAATGGGACCCCTGGGGGCGAAAACGCTCAATCATTAAAGCGCAGAGGGCATGACGTAACAAATGCCAACCCTCTCCCATCCCCCTTCTCCCGGACCTGTAGCTTTGTCCCTCGTCTCTCTGTTCCTTACCAGGTCACTTTTTGTCTCTCTCTCCGTCTCTCCTCCTCTCTCGTATGTATCCCTCTTGGCTGATGTGGTCCGCGCTTTATTGTGCGCCTTGCTCGATGCCCGGAACGCCCACCAGGGCAGTGATCATGGTCGGAGATCCCGCTCAGCTACCGGCTACAATCTTTTCTAAGGATGCTCAGCGCGCCAACTACGCGCAGAGTTTGTTCCTACGGCTGCAGCGGGGGGGGCACCCGAAGACGATGTTGGACACGCAGTACCGAATGCACCCCGACATCGCCTCCTTTGCCTCCACTCGCTTTTACAGCGGCCTCTTGAGGTAGTGACACCGTGACTCACCATGCGCTTGAGCATTCGGTCTGCTTGGCTTGCGCCTCCTTGTACTGCAAATGCGGCACGTACGTTTTGGATTGTCTCTTATGGCGTAGAAGATACACGTACATGAGTGGCGTTGTTTGACAGATTTGTCCTGAAACCAGCTGATTGGCGCAAACAGACCAGGGCGTTGGGTGCGGAGTTTGCTAATGCGAGGAAGGATAGGCTGATTGGTGTTGGTTCCGTAGCACATGGTGCGTGCAGTTGTGACGCGTTGAATCGCGTGGCTTTTTTCGAACCCGCATGATCACCCCGCTACCGGGCGGGACGTTCTCCGCGAATTTTCTGATGTGCCCTCGTCGTTTTTTCCTTCTTGCAGGTCTGCTCCCACGGTCACGGAGGCTTCGCACGGTCAAGTGTTCCACCGGTTACCTCGCTTCGCGCCTTACCTCTTTCACAACGTCTCTGGCGGACGGCTCAAGCGAGGGGGCGAGGGGTATGGTGGTGCTAAATCTCTATCAAACCCTACCGAGGTGTCCTACATCACGTCTCTCCTCCAGTGAGTTTTATGGTTCCGTTGGTATTTTGAAGTTCATTGGAAGAAATGGTTGTCCTTTCCGTTGCTGATATTTGGTTGGCATTATTTTGAGTTCATCAGTTGGCGTCGTGAATTATCTAAGCACACACGCGTCCATGGAGCGGAAAGGTTACACATGCCTTTATCCAAGTCCAAAGTGGCACGTTTTGATGCGGAAGGGGGCGGGATCACTATCATAGAGCGGATGCTCGGGGCGTTTCTAGACGGTTGCTTTTGGGTCTGTCTCGTTGGATCTGGTGCAAGGCGCCGATGGCCTCTCCAATGTACAGGGCATCATCTCCGAGTACGTTTTTTCACTAGAAACACCGTCGCCATGTCCACAACACCCCTGACTTGTCGCGCTCCCGCCATGTTCGGATCGACCATTTACAATCAACCAACCACAGTGACCTGATTACCACATTTCCCGGGACGGACTTCAACGGGAAAATAGGCGTCATTGCGCCTTACCGCAACCAGATCCGAGCCCTGCAACGCGGCATGTGGTCTACAGGACTGAGGCACGACGGAGTTGAGGTCTCCACGGTGGATGGGTTCCAGGGGCGGTGAGTGCACGTGGACTTCCGGCAGAATCATGCTTGCGTTCTCCTCGTGCTATCCTCCCTCTTCAATTTCCTGAGTTGTCAAGTTGTTTTTCTCTCTCAGTCCTGCTGCCTCGCTCCTTGCGGATGTGCCGTTGAAATGAGATGTGCGAGTTTTCACTGCTCTGCTTACCTTCGACACTGCCCCCGACCTATACACTCCATGGCACTATTGGCACCACCAGGGAGAAGGACATCATGATATTCTCGTGCGTTCGTGCTCCCGAGCTGCAGAGGTCGGGGGACTCCGGTTCTTCTAGCGGTGGCGGCGTCGGCTTTTTAGACGACTGGCGAAGGCTCAACGTTGCCATCACGAGGTGCTGTGCGCAGTACTGCTCGAAAAGACAATCAAAATGCTTATGGCACGCGGTGTTCATCCATTTGGTTGCGTTTTGAACGCAAGAAATATATAGCCTAACGCACTTCATGTAGTGCTGCAGCCTGAGGCAAAACTAAGTACTGCATCCCACGTGTTCAGCGCTGCCGCAAGCAGGTACTGTTAACTCGAACACCCCCCGAAAACAAACCCGGTTGCAATCCCATCCCACCCTCCTCTAGGGCTAAGTTCGCCATGTGGATCGTTGGCCATGCGGGGGTCCTGAAACAGAGCACCGACTGGCGTGAGCTCATCAACGACTCGAAGAAGAGAGACGCCTTCATTGACTCGAGTAACCCAGGTGCCACTTCAAGCGGTCGTAACAGCGGATCCAACACCAGCAGAGGTTCCAACGGTGGTGACTCCTGGACGGACACGACGAGCACGAGGGTTCTTGAGAAAGAGGCGCCCTCTGCGGCTAGCAGCACGCGTTCAAGGTCGGCGGTGGTTGTAGGGGCAGACCAAGACAGAGAGCGTGGGCACGATCCCAGAGGGAATGGGCAAGTCGGCGAGACGAAGCATGAATCCAGGCAACACAATGTTGCTGCCATGGCACTAGCAAGGGGAGAAGGGTCAGCATCAGCAGCAATGCCTTCCTTACACACCACGCCCTTGACAGCACCACCGCCCTTGCCTTCTCACATCTGGGCATCGGGCAATTACTACAACAGGCAATCCGCACCAGCCCAACCACCCGCCGGGCTTCGAGCTGGCGGTACAGGCTCTGGCCGTAGTGATGCGGCGGTACGAGCGCAGCCTTCACTCACCGATTCTGCTGGATCGCAGCCTCACAGACTGGATGACACGAGGACAGTGGTCGTCTCTCGACAGGGCAACAACTACAACAGACAACCCGCACTGCCCCAACCACCCGCCGGGCTTACAGGCTCTGGCCGTAGGGATGCGGTGGTGCGAGCGCAGCCGTCGTTCAATGATTCCGCTGATTCTCAGCCGAACGTACTGGACAGGAGGACAGTGGACGCCTCTCGGCAGGGCAACTACTACACTAGGGAATCCGCACCACCCCAACCACCCGCCGGGCGTAGAGGCGGTGCTGCAGGCTCTGCCCGTGGTGATACGGCGGTGCAAGCTCAACCTTCGTTCAAAGATTCCGCTCGTTCTCAGCCTAACGGACGGGACAAGACCGTGGACACCTCTCGGCAGACAGACTACGTGAACAGGCTGCTGAATGGCTCGCTTTCGACGCCACGTTCAGGTCCCAAGACTCCCGAAAACATTTGAAGGAAGGGCCGTACGTACATTTCAGAGCACATCACGGGAGTGCGTAAGTTGCCAGGAAGACACGGAACCGGTAGGGCGTTTGATCCGGACAGTTTGGGGCTCACCAGTATTTCAGGCGTCTCTTGGACGGGCCGCACTCAGACGTTGAGCAAGCGTGGACAGAAATACACCGGTGTCACTACAAGCTTGTATGGTAAGCCGATAGGACCCGGTGAACGCGACAAGAGGATGCGAAGCCAGCGCGCTGTTGACTGAACAGCGGCAGCTTGTTATGTGAAGGACAAGGTTGGTAGCATAAGTGCGGAATAAAAAAGAGCCGTGTCGCGTGGAGCAGGCACGTCTCACATGCTAACCTCGCACTCAGGCGACCCAGGGATCACCTGTACCGCAACCATTCTGTGCAATGATGCACGAAGCACCAGCTTGCTCGGAGAAGAAACTTGGTGCATTCTTCGAGACAACCCAACACGGCATCTCTGGGTTTGTTTCACCGGTAGAACAGAAAAGGTCTAGGGGCGAAAGAGGTCAACTCGCCGTGGCGCAAGCCAACATGGTTCCCCATCAGCTTCCAAAGCCTACCACTGCTGTAGACACCGGCTACACTTCGACGACACACAAGAAGCACTCGCCCCAACATGGTGAAAGACTTACGCAGATGGTAATCTTACGCACTGTCACCTGTTCCCAAGAGCAATACGATGATGCACACGCCTGTCGAAATAACCCTACCACTATGTGTGCGGTGCGGGAGCAACGGCGCACGCGAGGTTTCAAAACGGAATGGGATTAGCCTGCCAGACAGGTCTCCATCAGCCTGCCAGACAGGTCTGCACATAAACTCTGTCGAGGGTGACTCGCGTCACAGAGCGGTGGTAGTGGACAACCTCCTCAAGTACACAAAAAAGGAAAACAGATACGACTAAGCCACGCATCAACACACACTCGTGTGAGGCATGGCAGCAGCAACGACCCGCCTGTGCGTGTCGGAATTCTCCCCCGGCAATCGTGCCGTCAGAAACCGATGTACCAAGTACAATATAACACAACACCGAAGGGTCCGTCTAGGCAACGAATCCATCCGTACTCTCGACGCTAAGACCGAGATGGAGATCCTTCACCACTTGTCTCCTAACAGAGCGAACCGCTACCCGGTGACTTCGAAAATAACACCTGTTACAATACTCATGCCGTCGACATGGAAGCCATGCCCTCCGTGAATTTCCTGAGGCGATCCGCGACGATCACGGTCTGGATGGCGGACTTAAACTTGCGGCGGGCGTTGAAGAGCTTCATGCGTCCCAGGTTCTGGTCCATGTTGTTGCCCTCCAAAACTGTGGTATCAATCTGTCCAGGGAGAACACCCGTACGGTCAAGCGCATAGCATGACGCAGGTTTATTCGTTGTGGATTCAACATGCGATTTGATACTTTAACGAAACCTGAGCATTTGATGAATACGCTTGCAGCGGCGGTGCCAGGCTGCGGTACCTCGATCTCCGCCCGAGACTTGGGAAAAACCGCTTCGTCCCGGGTGGTTCCAGAACGTTGGGCAGCACGTGGAAAGACACATTTCGGGGTTTAGTCTGAAACAGTTCTGTTGGCGGAAGGCTCCTCAATGAGAGATTTTGGCTTCAAGCAGATTTTAAAATCACGTACTGTCTGTGCACAAGTGGGACGAGAACCTTACTGCGCACAAGGCATCGGCACGTACTCTACAACTTGGTGCTTCCTACATGCCCCACAGTCAAAATGCGTTACAAAAAATGTACTCAACAACGGATGCGGGGTTGTGCCAAGCGCCCGTGGCAACACAACTGTTGAATAATCTAAACGAGCCCTTGCTCATCAGCAGTCAAGGTATCACAAAAGTCAACATATTGCGATTATGGCCGCAGCAGAACGCACCGCCGTATCGGACTCAACGTGCCGAAACAAAACCGCAATGTAACACAGGCAGTGTTGTGGGTTGCCAGCCCGGTACAGCATAACAATGCTGAATGTGACCAGCGCCAGGCGCCCTTGAGAAAAATCCACCCGTCAGCACGACAACCATACGCCGTACGACAACTACTCTTCGGGAACCCAAAATGTGACGCCACCGTCTCTACTGCTGTTTATCCCAACACACCAATTGTTGAACCTAAAAAACTATGGAGAAAAGGAAAACCAGCTCATGCTTGACCAGAAAGGAAACAACACGCAGCGTACCTTGAGGTACGGGTGCTCAAGGGCTTGGTCGGCTGTCAAGCGCTTGTTGGGGTCGACCGTGAGCATCTTAGCGATCAAGTCTTTCGCCTCCGGGCTGATGTCGGACCAGTACTCATCGTGGAAGCTGTACACGCCCTTCTTGATCTTAGCGAACAACCTCGCCTGAACAAGCCAGTTCGGTGAAAACACGGCACGCGTGATGAAAATATCAACGCAAGCGTCATGCACACAGCATGCGGTACAGGCGTCACATTTGGATGCTGAGCAAGCTGCAAAGCTGTTAGCGCTCACCGATTTTGTCAACAGATCGACACCAGGGCAGATAGAAAATGGACTAACTGCGAATGCATCGCGTGATCCACAGAAAAATAACAAGACGCTTGGGACAAAAAGCGCTTGGTGTAAAAAAAGCGTGCAACGCATTCCGCAAACTAGCCAAAAACACTGCCAAAAACAAAGGGAAGGGAGACAAGACTCCTGCAAGCCACAAAAGATAACGCAGCACTGGAAAAATTACAATTTACACAACCGACTGCGAGGACAAATCATATCATGGCCGCAGCAGAACCCGCCGCAGGCAATTGGGAAGTCGACATTTTTCGTGAGCTTGACATGAAAGGACCACTTCATATTGTGCTCGCCTGGTTGTCGTCGTGGAATGGAGGATAGCCGCCAAGAAGAATGTACGTGATGACACCCACGCTCCACATGTCCACGGCCGCGTCGTACTTTCTGTTGGGTCGTATCGCATATCCGTCCGAATTTCATGTCGTTGGGTCCACGTTTGACGCCCGTGCGGCAGGGCATCGTGAACGAGAAAACTGCCGCAACAAGTTTATATACGTTCGTAGCTTGTCATGTTCGTCAAAATCAACACACGGATTTGACCAGTTTTACCATATCAGCCACTCCGCAACGGTTGTCATACGACATGCACGAATGCCTTGTGGTTCCGCGAGGACTCGGTTTCGAAGGAAGCAGCAAACACTGGAAACGTTAAACAGTCTTCTGCTCCTAGCAATAGACGCCTTAAAAATGTTGGAGGTTTCGCATTGGTAACCACAATTTGGCCCGCGAAACACGGATTGAGAGTCATTCGAGAAACTCGCACGCACGGAAAGAACCTGGGCTACACATTGCTCTTGGCTGCTGTAGAGCTTGACCGTTGGCCAATGCTTCGAACAGGCCCCACCCAGTACACACCAATCCAACTCAACCAGACCCTGACTCAATCCTTGAAGACTTTCAATCAAGGCCAGCCTCACTAGAGCAAGTTGGCGTGCCAAGGCGTGCACCAACGAACAGTGTGGTCTGCCGGACAGAACAGACATACGCACCACTACATTGCTGTGTTCCCTTTTCCCTGCCGTAAGCTGTATGCTCTTAGTATTGCCTCCGGCCTCTCTTTGTGCTTTTCTTCTTTCTTTCCTTCTTGTTCTCGATGCCCTCTCTACGATGATCTTGGACGATACCTCGAGCTCCTTGTTATTTTTTGTTTTTTCCTTTGCTGGCTGCCTGCCACCTCTGCTGCCTCTTTGGTGCGGTGCCTACCCTACACTAATGCGCTGGTGCATACTGCACTGCTGTAGTACCTGGTACTGGTGTACGTTGTCCTTCGATTTTTTATTTTTTTTGGGGAATATATATGTGTTTGTTTTTCGCCCCCCGTCTTGCTGCACCCCCTGGGGTGTGGTGCAGGGCGGGGGATGCCTGGTCGGCGGGAACCCGGCACGGAACCCTCCGGCGTTGTAGGCGGGTGTGGGAAGCGTTCCCCGTTCTCCTTTTATTTTATTTTGATCGGTCTCCTCGACGCTCTTTCTCGTTTGGTGCGGTAGCTGGTCTTTCTTTCTATCATTTTGTTTCTCTTCCGAGTGGTTTTTGTACCCTATTTTTTTCTGTTTCTTCGTGGGGTCGTGTATGCCGGGTTTTGAGACCACGGGCTCCCAATCTTTCTTTTTTAGAGCTAATGTGAGAAACAACAACAACAACAACAATTGCTATACTCGTTTATGTATGTCCTATGTATGTCCTTTGTCTTGCCTTCGGCCTCTGTGCTGTGTTTCTTTTTTTCATGTCCTCCCTGCCTACTCCGCCCCCTACTACCGCCCCCCCCGGTGTTTGCCATCGGGGTTGGGTTTTCGTCGCTTGGCAACGACGTTGTAAAACAAGCC